CCCCCCCCCCCTCCCCTCCTTTTGTTCCATCAAAATTATATAGCGGTATTTCCCAACCTTATCCCCCAAAGAAAAGAACAAAGAAAGGCGTGTCCTGCACTATTTCTCCTCTCCACGCTATCATCATTTCTAATTGTCCATCCCTTCGTCTCTCCATGCCCACAATTAATAATGGTCCACCAATACTATATGTGCACTAAATTTATACACCAAATAAATATTAAAATTTATAATTTAGATTTACCTTGTAAAAAGGGGTATGTAACCAAACCTTTACAAAGTAATAACTCTTGATATTATACAAAAAAAAAAAATGGGTATTGCACCTTCACTTTCTAATTAATGAACCCTAACCTTAGTTGGATGGACCCAATCCATAGAGTAAACGCAAAACAGTAGGTTAAACCTAGCTCATAACCTCAACCCAATCCAGAATTCAAGGAATTCAAAAGATTAGTGCACATGTGAAAAATAAATGTCAAGAATACTACTTAAAAATCGAGATTATCTTTAATTATACCTATCCTAGTTGTAGTTATCCTCCCCAAAAAACTAGTCACCTATCCTTTCACTCCACCACCTCAACCAAAATTATGTGCCTATAAATTGTAAGTCCTCTACACACCTTTTACACACTTGGAGTTTACTTTTGTTCTCTTTCTTTCTCCCACCAATTACTTTATCAATAAAGTCCTTCGACTATCATTGCTGTCTTCAAAATAGAATAGATCACTCTAACCGAACTACTCTATATCTGTGTGTTGATCTCACATATATATTTATTACATGTATTACTTATATTAATTACTGGACAAATGGTGCATATATTTATTTTTGTGCATCATCAAAAATGTGTCACGTGTGCAATTTATTTATTTTATAATTTTTTATTACTTTATTATTCTTGAAATTAACGATTACAAATTATTCAATTTAAAATTTATGACCGAGATTTGTGAAGGTATGATACTCANTAATAGATCATTCTAACCGAACCACTCTATATCTGTGTGTTGATCGTGTTATATATTTACTACATTTATTACTTATATTAATTACTGGACAAATGGTGCATATACTTATTTTTGTGCATCATCAAAATGTGTCACGTGTGCAATTTATTTATTTTATAATTTTTTATTACTTTATTATTCTTGAAATTAACAATTACAAATTATTCAATTTAAAATTTATGACCGAGATTTGTGAAGGTATGATACTCACCCGGGTACCCGTATCTTTATCCCCTATTAATTGTCCTCCTTTTTGGCAAATAGTCGTGGCCCAATGGACAGTCTATTAGATTAAGGGGGCAATTGGTTCAAATCCCGCCCGAGTATGGGTCAGACGGGCTTGGACTTGAAGAATATGGGTTGGACAGGCCTGGTTTTGCTCAAGCCACGTTAACTTCGATTAAGTGCAAACCTGACCCACAACCTCATATTTGTTAGCCCGACCCGATTTTATACTGTACCAGTCATTGTCAATGCCTCAAAAAATTCATAGCTTAACTCCGGTGGTAAACAATCCGCTCGAACAATTTTTTAGACTTGTTTAAAAAACAAGCCTAATAAATTCAATTTGAACTTGCAATAGACAAACTAACAGAGGTTGAAACAAACTGATCAAATGCAAAATTGGCAACTTGTCAGGGGTTCGAGTTAGAAATATAACACCTTTCTATGTTGGTTTGATGAAGTGAGCAGTAAGAAGCTTAGAAACTGAGAAGACATTAAAGGAATCAATTTCAAAGAGTTCTTTTAGCTTATCATCTCACAAAACCCTCCTCTTATCAGATGGATCCTACACAATACGAGCAGAAAACCACATTAGAAACAATGCACCTTGCATTTGTAGCAGAAAAAAAAAAGCGTTTTTTTTTTTCTTCTTTTTTAGGTTAATCTTTAGGAAAAATCTCTGCCAATAACTCGAGCTATAGCATCACTTCATCAAAACAGTAAATATACTTGAGAAAAGAAAATGAGGGACCAAGTTATTTCATTCCCAATAGCTTCCTTGTTTACCAGCGCTATCCGCTTCACGAATGGATTAGATACTCATCGAGTGGGACATCTAATCATTGAATAGTAAACACTAGTGCATGTAGCAAAATGTGGATTTGGTGTGTATCAAGTGTGATCATAACAAGGGCTTTACTAAGAAGAGTAACTATGTACCTGCAGATCATTTTGTTTTATATAATTCCACATGCGCTTAACTACATCAGCCCGTGATAAAGAATCCTCCCCAGTACCAAAGAATTTCACCAGAGAATCTGATAATGGAAATGGGGCCAGAAAACCAGATCCTCCCCCTTTCCGCTGTGTTTCTTTCTGCCTTTGCTGATCTAAAGCTGCATAATCAAAAAGAGTAATCTCTGTATGACTAAAAATGTCTGCTTTCAAGAGTCGCTGAAAGTAATTTCCCATTCCTCTGGCGAGTGTGAAGGACAACACATGGTGAAGACAGGTTTAAAATGCAGATTGACATATTAAGAAAGAGAAATCTAGCAGGCTGACAATTTCCAAGAATTAAAGTTATTGTTCTCACCTTCTCTGCCTAGTTTTTGTCGCTTTTCCTTATGAGATGATTGACTGGAGCTGTTTCTTCATGGAGAAAGAAATCTCACTTAATCCATAATATAAAAAAAAAATCAGTACTTCACAATTAAAGAATATGTAAACCTAAGGGTTTGTGACAGGACAAGATCAATATTGCAAGTATATAAAATCTACATATTGTAAATCCTTCCCCACATCCCGTAATTGAGAATCAATGAAAAAGACTATGGTTCATATGTTTCACAGATCATTCAAACAACTTATGTGAATTATACAAGTAGGGCATCTTACAGGATGACCTTCAATTTTGGATGTGTGTCAAACAATTTAGCCAATACAAGCATAAAAACCGTTTGTGAGGGTGCAACTTGTCTGGTAGATCACATTCCAACGATGGTTCTTTAACATGTCCAAGTTACATAAGTAGTTACATGATAAAGAAATATCCATACAAAAGTGGTAACACTAATCACAAACCATTCTAGATAAAAGGATGGCCTAGAAATCTAGTAAGTAATATACATGTATGGAATAGACACTGTTCATTTATTTATAAGATCACTCCCATGGTGTTCTAGCAAAAAAAGCAAAACCCTGAAGCATACAAAAATGCTGCTTCAGGATACAGACAAAGAAAACTAGTAATCACAAAATTTGCAAGAGTAAGGAAACACGCTGGTGAAGGCTTAAATTTTCCTGGAGCAGTAATCCTTTCTAAAATTTTGTTCTTCATTAATAAAGTTACGGCTGGGGGTTCACATATCTTACTTATATGGGACAAAGTTAAAAGAAAATAACAACCCTTATGAATTCCATTAGTAAGGGAATGAGAGAAGTAGACTAGATACATAGTTTGGCATTATTTGCACAAAGAGAAATGTTCTCAAATTACAAGACAATGATGTCAAAATTTTCTGGAGGTATTGACTGTAACCATTTAAAAATAGAATTTCATATTGTAATTGTCATAAATTGAACTTAATATATCACCCAATACGGCTTCAAAGCAACTCTTGATAAAGCTGAATGACAAACAATTTTTATTGACTTGCAGCTAACCCAAGCATCATTAGAACTTGCAACAACCTAGGCTGCATCTCTGTAATGTATTGCAACTGAGGTTTTAAACTCAAAAAGAGCTAACGTGTCCATGGATGTTGAAGAAGGAGAAGAAGTCGTCTCAATATTTGCCACAACAAACTGTAAGAAATTTGATGACTGTAGCATGAATTTTAAAGTTTGAAGAAGTGTACCATCTTCCTCATCTATTGGCCATATATGCTTGGACAGTGCTTTATTCATTTGAAACATGTCAACCGAATTAACACGAAAAATAGAATGTAGTGTTTCATCACACAAAATTTTCCTCTTATTCTTTGGATTTTGTAATTTCTTCTCCCGGATATAGGCCCAAAGTTTCTTGACAACCTGAAAGCTCACGAAAAAAAAAAACTTCTTCAAAATGATGTCAACAAATCAGGAGAAACTTCTAAAACAATCTGATATACCTGAGTTCTGGCCAATTCTGGCACTCCAACAAGTTCTTGTAGCTGTGGAGAGAGACGACATGGTTTGCAGAAGCCTGTTACTTTTTTCTTTGCGTCTTTATCCAACTGGGCAGATCTACTTGATAAGATGAAACAATTAAGCTTACAAATATCAATGCCAGCAATCTACCTATCATCTAGAAATAAATAGATCAACGATGAATGTGTTTATGCCAATATCTTAAGGCTATAGACTCTGATGAGCATCTTACACATTCTTTTCTCATTATTTGTTACATTGTGCAATAGTAACTGAAAGTTACAACCTTTGAATCTAGCTAAAATATATCAATGTGAAACAACTAAGGCTCCTCTTAAGATGTTTTCATTAACGTCCTTCTCATTTCTCACTAAGTAAAAATAAAATACTTGCCCCTAAGTTATCCCATACAAATTGTGCGAGCATTTTTGTGTCAAGCACAAGAGACTCAGCTATATTCCTCTTGTAAGGNCCATTTCTCACTAAGTAAAAATAAAATACTTGCCCCTAAGTTATCCCATACAAGTTGTGCGAGCATTTTTGTGTCAAGCACAAGAGACTCAGCTATATTCCTCTTGTAAGGTCAATGTAGCCAGCTTCTAATACATTACAATTTATTATAAACCAATATGCATAATTACCAACAGGGTGGGTTTATACATATGAAATAAAAAATATTTCAAAAAAAATATTAGAAAAGAAAAACCAGCTAAAAGAAAAGAAAAAAATATTTGAACATGATCAGAAGAAGAATGTGCCAATTAACTCGAGTAACTTTTACATTTAGGATTTGAAATCAATAATGCTATTTGGATTTAATTTGTCATCATTGTGGGTCTCGATAAATACTTAGAGTCCACTATCAATTTAGCTATGAATGATTCCTATCAATCTAGCTATGAATGATTAGTATGAATGATTAGGTTAGTAAATTAAGTCCGAATAACATTACTAGATATGAAAGACATAATCAAGACATGGCAATAAATGAAACAATTGAATAGTTTTTTTTTTCTTTATGTTCTTTCTTATGCAATTTAAAAATTATGAAGTTAGCAAGCACTATGAACCCAATACCACAAAGCAAAATTTGTCCAAAACCACGTTAAACAATGAAGCAATCCAAGAATTTCACTTTTCCCCAATTTCCTACCAACAAAACAGAAAATAAAGAGGATTTTTGAAAAAACAAAGACAAATAATTTAAAGGAAAATTCAAGAAAACCCCACCTCTGCTTCTTGCTTCTCTTTACATCACTCGAATCCTCTTCCTCTTCCTTTTCTTCCGCTTGTTCTTCTTCAGGGTCCTCTTCTTCGGACTGGCCACCGCCATTCTCTTCTTCCTTCACAGTCTCCGACTCTTCTTCACCACCCTCTTCCTCGGCGTCGACGTCGGTGTCGTTTTCGGGTCTCCCCATATGGATTTGAAGGAACATATCGATTTGGTCTGTGATGAAGGCTTTACGCTCCGATAAATCAATACCGAAATCCTCCTCGAGTCTCCGGCGGACAACGGCGGCGGTGGTGGTGCTGAGGTCGGAGCTTCCGAGGATTACCCAGAGCCGATCCACTAGCTTCGAGTCCGACACCATTGTTCTCTTTTCTTCGTGTTCTTTTTGATCAAAACTCTACAAATGCTTGTAGAGTTTTGGGGATTTTCTGTGAGGCTGTGTGTTTCTTTTTATGTTGTATTTGGGGATTTTGCATGCAGACGAGAGAGCACAAGCAAGTACCAAATAAGTCAAGCACTCCGGACGTGAAAGTATGACAAATACGAGGGTATAAATGGAATTACAGTAAAGATTTTTCGTTTTTTTTTTTTCGCGCACTATTACCGGGTAGGACCTCGAACCCGGCTTTAATATCCAACAATTGAGTAAATATGGAGTGTACCAGATTTTTTATGGGTCTACCTTGTAGACTTATTAATGAACGGCTATATCACATGATATTATTAATCGATACATTTAATATCTTCTTTCAATGATTAGGATCGTGATCATTAGACTAACAATTAACCTCAATTACAAGAAAAATATATTTACTTTATCTATATATACTAGCAATAACCTCGTGATTGAAAATATTCTCTAATACTAAAAATCTAGTACTGGTCATGCAATATTTATATGTGGGTTATTTATTATTAAATAGTGTATTAGTTGAATTATTTGACGTTGAAAGTTATGTAAATAAAATAATAATTCATTGCTCATTTCGTCAAAAATCACTTCATTGATACTGATATAATGAATAACGAAAGTTAATAAAAAATGTCACATCACAATACATTTAATATATTAAATATGCGATATAAAAAATATAGTATATGAATGTGCATAGTAAAATTTATCCTAATTTTGGGGGGACACATCTACCCTTTTGTTTTTCCATTTAATTTTAGTTATTGCCATCCTTACACTAGGCATGGAAAATGATTTTGGATTTTGTTGTTTTTGGGTGGGTATATAAAGAGTGCATCCCAACCCAGCCCAACCCAATATACACATTCCCATCCATTTACAACAATACAAAACCAAAACTACACAATAGGGCTGCCCAACCGCTAAGCTAATTAGCTCTGAGTTGGGCCCATTTAAAGGAAAACTCTATAAATTTGAAGTGTGTAATAATAGTCGAACATAAAAAATTTAAATTTAAATTCAAACAAAAAATTTCAACTTAAATTAATTGAACCTATAAAAAGGCCCCAAAATTTAATTTTTTGAAAATAAAAAAAAAACTAATAATAAAATTAATGCTACTAAAAATAAGTTGTAATCTAAAAAAAAAAATCAAATTTAAATTTATCATCATAATTTTTTTAATAATTATGTGCGTGCAAGATCCTGCACAATATAAAAAGAACGGGAACAGATCTCTCCCCTGGTGAACTTCGAGTGGGCCGGTTGAGTGAACAAGCACGCTGCTTGGAATAGCCTGCAAGGTGCGGTAGTAACCCGAAACGGCAACGGGGGATCCTGGGAGAGGAAGAACGATCCTATGGGGGTGAAAGGGGTTCCTGGAACAAAGAAGAACAAGTTAGAAGGGCGCCGGAGTGTTTTCCGGCGTATCCCCTCCGACGGTCTAGTCAGTCTTTGAGTGAGAGAGAGGAAGGAGAAAACACTGAGAAAAATGTATTGTAGTAGAGAGTTTGTTGTTGCCTCCCCGTTTTGCTGTTTGCAAGGAATATTTATACCTTAAAAGCTCATGATTGCTGTCAGTGTGGTCAGTAGGTGATCATTAGGCACAGGTAGCGTGTGCATTGATTCTGATGAGGAATGTCTTCTCTAATTAACTGCTCAGGGTCCCGAGCAATCAATGCTGAGTCGTCGGGATGCCGACGGTACAATGTGCTCCTCTCGGGGAGGATGCAATAAATGTTCTGTAATAGGAGCATTTATTGCCTTTCATTTCCGAGCCTTACCGCATTGAATGCGGTCTCATCAACGGAAGGGTGCAATTAATTGTTTGTTTTCCCAAGCCGCGTGTCAGCAATGGCATGCGGTTTGTCTGTTTTTGATGTGACATCATTTGCCACGCGTCCATCCCCTATTGACTGTGACCTTTGTATTCCAGTATGTTCTGACATTACTTGTGTAAGACAAGGTCATGATGAATAGCCTAGACTAGCCTAGGCTAGTGACCTATACGTCAATAGCTTATCCTGGAGCAGAGGAAGCGTCCAGGACGGGGTATCTCTCGGCACCGAGGAAAGGCTCATCTCGGGGACGAGGGAGTATGCCGACCGAGGTACATATCAGACCGAGGCCACGTGTCGGTGTAAAAATATACCAAATGTGTGATCCTATATGTCGGTACCTAGGGGGCGAGGACCTTGCGCGCCGAGGTTCTTGATCTTAGCAACAGTGCTTTAGTAAAACCGAGGACACGTGTCTTCATCATACGGCATTTCAGAAAAGTCCCATCAACTGCCCCCCAGCCTTCGATCTTCTGACACCGAGGACACGCGTTGTAAGGAGACGAAGGGTTTCCCAACTACCACCCGTCCTTCATCATGGCCTCGAGCCGTTTTTCCCGGCTTGGGATGTCGTGCGCATTAAATGCGCCGTTTCGATTTTCCCGCCCAATGATGAAAATTTGCCCCTATATAAAGGGGGTTCCTCTCCGGTTTTCTTCGTTTTGCCATTTCGAACTTTCTCCAGAGTACCTCTTCTTGAATCTTCGCCGGAGTTTTGTTTCTTCTGCCATCGTCGACTGCCCATTCTCCCTCAAAATCTTAAAGCCAGCAGACCCATTGTTGATTTCTGAACTTTCTGGAGGGAGTCGCTTTAAGGTTTTCCAGAAAAAACTCCATTTTGACGTTCGGGTGAGTTTCAGAATCCTCTTTCTTTTCTTCCTCCTAGCCTTTTGTTTTCCGATTGACTGGAGGTGTCATCCGGTCGATACATAGCGTTTTAACCCTCGGGAAACTTCCTCAGGGATTTTCAAGAACAAATACCCTCTTCTTTCTTACTTTTTTAGAGATGCCTCGTCGTCGCCCTGCTCCCGAGAATCCTCAGGCTGGTCCTTCGGGGTCAGGGAAATATAAGGTAAAAGGCGATGAGCAGATCAATAGGTTTAGGGCCAAGTACGGCATTCCTCCGTGCGTAGACGTAGAGGATTTTGACCCAGTGGTGCACTCATCTACCCTCGGGGCCGAGGATGCCATGCCCTTCTATACCAAGGCCATCATAGAGGGTGGAATTAGGTTTCCTTTACCCCCCCTGCTTCTTCAGTTCCTCTCTCGCTTTCGCCTCTTCCCCGGGCAATGCTGCCTTAATGTCTTCCGAATAATCATGGGGGTCTTAGAGCTCAATAGGCGCCTCGGGGTAAATATTGGGCTCAATGATCTCCTTTTCTGTTATTCCCTCCTTAGAGTCATGCCTCACCAACACTTCTACCTCAAAGTCAGGGACCCTTCCATGTACCTTGTAACCCATCTTCCTGACTCGGACAAGGGGTACAAGGACGATATCCTAATCTTCAAGGGATCTTGGCAGAGAGGTGTTGGTCCCGAGTACAATGACTTATTATGCCCTCTGGAATGGAGAACAACAAGTACGTCGGTTCTTTCGGGTTTCTTATTTGTTTCTCGGGACTTCCCATGTTTATGACAACTTTTTTGTTTGTGCAGATATTCCTGCTCGGGAAACAGCTCCTCCTCCTCGGT